TATTATTATTATTATTATTTTAATGTTTACTGTGAATTATGTGATAGTTTATATAAAAGCATCAATTCTTCCACAGTCTTCCTTATTCACTGTCCAGCTTTCACATGCATATGAGGTTATTGAAAATACCATGGCTTGGGTCCGGTGCACCTTATTCTTCAAGCTGACATCTTTGCTCTTCAACACTTTAAAAAGTTCCTGTGCAGCAGATTTGCCTAATGCAATACATCGTTTGATTTCTTGACTGCTGCTTCCATGAATGTTCATAGTTGATCCAAGAAGAATGAAGTCCTTGACAACTTGAATCTTTTCTCCGTTGATAAAAATGTTATTTATTGGTCCAGTGGTGAGGATTTTTGTTTGTTTTTTCACATTGAGATGTAATCCATACCGAAGGCTGTGCTCTTTGATGTTCATCAGTAAATGTTTTAAGTCCTCTTCACTTTCAGCAAGCAAGGTTGTATCATCTGCATATCGCAGGTTGTTAATGAGTCTTCCTCCAATCCTGATGCAACGTTTTTCTTCATATAACCCAGCTTCTCGTATTATTTGCTCAGCATACAGGTTGAATAAGTGTGGTGAAAGAATACGATCTTGTTGCACATCATTTTTAATTTTAAACCATTCAGTGTTCCCATGTTCTTTTCGAACAACTGCTTCTTGATCCAGGTACAAAATGAATACATACTGACTGTCAATTGTGCTGGTGGTGGTGTTAAGTACTGTTGAGTTGCTTCTGACTCATAGTGACCTGTATATGGCTTCTGAGAAGTGGTGGTGATTTTGACCTTGCAGTTCAAATGACCTTGTAGTCCAGTGCTTATCCTACAGCACCACACCAGGACTACCTATTATGCACCACTGTTATTATGTACCATTATGGTCCTTGGTTTTAGGAAGGTTAGAGACTAGATAAGAGAAATACACATTTCCAGAGAAAGTATAGAAATATAATGAAATGCATCTAGACCTTCATGTAATCCATTTTGTAAATTGTTCAATATCTACAAAAGGGAGTTTCAAAATGTGTTGTGTGTGAAGTCCATTATCTTTTCATTACATTTTCCATGAATTTTTGGAAGTTTCTTATTTATTGAGTACTTATTCTTTCAGGAAACTGATTTAATATGAGGTAGAAATGGGATGGGTTAAGGAAGAGGCTTAAAGAAGTGGAATTTTAGCTGGATCTTGTAGGGTGAGTAGGGATGAATTCAAGAATGGGGAGGAACACTCAAGGTAAAGAAACAGCATGCATGAAGTCCACAAGGTGGGGAAACAACTTGGTAGTTTCAGGAGAGAGAAGGAAGTAAGTGGTCAACGTGTACTGAACAAACTCTAACATTTTGGGAAATTACATTGGAAAAAGAAATAAGGGGCAGATAATGGAGGACCTTGCTGGCCGTGTTAAAGACTTCTGAGTTGTCTAAGTGCAGAAGGAAGCCTCTGGAATGCCTTAAGCCGAAGAGTCAACGTTTTAAAAAGTGAGACTTAGGGGTCACGTAAGGAAGAACAATGGACAGTTGGGCCAGTAAGTGATGTGTGTAAAAGATACAGGTACTTGGATGAGGGGGTGGCAGTGGAGCTGGGACAAAAGCAGTGTTTGGGAGGTCGAGCTTACTGGTCTTTGTGATGAATGGGATGTGGTGAATTGTAGAAGGAATGATGCCAAGAATGACTTCCTGGCTTCTGTGTGAGCAACTGGGCAAGATTGGAGAAGGCACTTTTTTTTTTTTTTTTGTTCATGGAAAGACAAAAAGTTCTGTTTTGAACATGCTAAATTTGAAACATCTGAGGTGTATTGAAATTTTGATGTTGAAAAACAGTTTTATTTGTCTACAGCTCCTAAACGAGGCCTGTTGTCCATTGCTATGGACTCTGACTCCTGGTTACATCTTGTGTTGCAGAGTAGAACTGCAATAGCCTGTGACCTTTTGGAAGGAGATTATCAAGGTACCTCTGGGTGGATTTGAACCACCAACCGTTGAGCATGTACTCATTTGCACCAACCAAGGACTCCTAAGAGAGGCCCTGATTGGAGTTAAAATTGGAGTGTTTCCAGTATGTAAATAGGATCAAACACCATGGTTTATGGAGGGAAGGAAGGTTGGGATGAGAACCCCTGACTTCCCTCATCCATCAGATGGAACTTACTCTTTCTAAAACCCGGCCAAGCAGAGAAGATGAGAGCACCATTATCTGGAGGGAGTGCCAAGTGAAGGGAAAGACTTCAGAATTGCAAATGCTGCCTGGATGTGAAGTGTTGAGAAAAGGAGAAGCTGAAGAGGCTTGAAAGGAGGAGATACTTGATGAACTGGAGATCTTAGAGAAACATGGAAGGGGTTTAAGGTTTTGCCTTGATATTCTCTGAGACCAAAGAGAAGGGTATAGGATGGAGTTTAAAGTAAAATTTCAGGGTTAGGGGACACAGATAGCTGAGATAATTTACTACCAGATACCTCAACACACATGCACAATCTCTGGGGGTCATCGAAGTGGTTTCCTTATATTTCCTGCTGTTTGTTTTTTAATACCTGATACATATGAGAGGCTCACTAAATATTTGTTGAGTGTATATATGGTCTTAGAAAAGGGCTATAGATTTAATTTGTGGGGGTATCCATGATAGAGAACATGAAGGGGGTAAGAGCTGAGTGATTGGAAGTCACTGGGCTTAATTCCATCAAGCCCCGTACCCAGGTCTTCCCTGACATTCCTGTGCAATGGTCACTGTAGTTTACAACCATTAGTTCTTTTGTGTGCCTCTTATTAGACTGTGAATTCTTTGAAGACAGTGTCTGTCGTATATAAATCCAGAATCTAACACAAGGCTGTTGTTGGTCTTAGGTGCCATCCAGTCGGTTCTGACTCTTCACACAACACGACAATGCCCTGCCCAACTACTGGTTCTGTGCCATCCTGACAGTTGTTGTCATGTTTGATTGAGGCCATTATTGCAGCCACTATGCCAGCCCATTTCTTGGGAGCCTTGCTGTTTTTTGCTGACCCTCTATTTTACCAAACATGATAGCCTTTTCCAGGAAGTGGTCCTTTTTGATAGCATGGCCAAATACATGCATGAGATGGGGTTTCACCATCCTCACTTTGAAGGAGCATTCTGGCTGGACTTCTTCCAAAATATATTTGTTTGTTGTTTGTTCTTTTGACAGTCCATGGCAGTTTCAACATACCTTGCCAACCATTGCTCAAAAGCATTGATACTTCTCTGGCACATGGTAAATGATCAATCAATATTTGTGGAGTGACTGCAAGAAGGCGGCCTTGGGTGGATGCTTCAAGGTTCCTTGGGAGAGAATAAACAATGATCCAGCTAGAGTCAGGGATTAAGCTAAACTATACGAGTCTTGGAGTCCTGGTGTGGTGTGGTGGGCTAATGCCTCAGACTGCAAAGTCACTTGAACTGAAAAGTCAGTGGTTCAAGCTCACCAGCTGCTTCCTGGAAACCCTATACAGGGTTGCTATGGGTTGGAATCGACTCGACGGCATGTAACTACAACAACATACAAGTCTTAGTGTGGTGCTGTAGGATAAACACTGGACTGATAATCACAAGGTCGGTATTTCAAACCCATTAGCCACTCCTATTGAGGCTTTCTGTGAATTGGAATGGACTCAGTGGCACTTAGCAACAACAATGACAGCTTAGCGATTGAAATCATTGTGTGCCTGAGAGGCAGCAATGAAGTTGTCTGATGTGATGTTTTCCTGTATTGATGGTGTCTTAGTCTGGGTTTTCTAGAGAAGCAAAACCAGTGGACCATATATATGTATATATATAAAGAGAAGTTTATTATCTTACAGTCGTAGAGTCACAGGTCCCCAGTGGAAGAGAGAGAGTCCTGCCTGAATGTCCATTTTATTGTGAGCAGGCCACACCCCACAAGGAAGCATTTCCTTTAATTGATTGACTGCTCATAGCCGCTCATCAGTGTTAACTACTCCTGTATTAGGCTTCATCACCATGGGAATAAGCACATCCTAACTGCTAAACCTCTGGAAATCCTGGCCTAGTCTAGTTGACACAGAACTTTAACCATTACAGATGGGGATTAGTAACTTGCTCCGAGTTCAACAACTTGGAACTGCTAGTTTCTGAATTTGCACTTGAGACTTCCTGACTTCAAAATATAAGTAAGGTTTCCCACTGTGGTGGTGGCCACGGTGGTGTGCTGTGAAGTCTGTTCTGACTCACAGTGACCCTGTACAGGCTTTCCGAGGCTGTACATCTTTATGGGATCAGAAAGCCTCATCTTTGTCCTGCAGAACAGCTGGTAGTTTCGAACTGCTGACCCTGAGGTTAGCAGCCCATCTTGTAACCACTACACTACCAGAGTTCCATACCCCATACTCACCTTGTTATTTCCCATAGAAATTACCACCCCACCCCCAACTTGAAGACGTCTTCTTTGTCTCCACTTGTGGTTGTTGTTGTATGCTGTCAAGTAGGTTCCAACACATAGAGACACTGTGTAGAGTTACCACCAGTGGCTATTGGGCTTGAACTGCTGACCTTGTGGCTATCAGTCCAGTGTTTATCCTGCAGTGCCACACCAAGGCCCTTTGTTCCCACTTGGTAGTGGTAGTTTGCTGTGGATTCGGTTCCAGCTCATAATGACCCTGTATAGGGTTTGTGAGGCTGTAAATCTTTACAGGAGCAGAAAAATTTTATCTTTCTCCCATGGAATGGCTGGTAGTTTCGAACTGCTGATCTTGAGGTTAGCAGCCCAACTTATAACTACTACAGTATCAGAGCTCCTTTTGTTCCCACTTGGTGGTTGGTGGTTATGTGCTGTGGGGTCGGTTCCAACTCATAGCAACTCTGTACAGGGTTTTGAGGCTGTAAATCTTTACGGGAGCAGAAAGCCTCATCTTTCTCCCATGAAACAGCTGGTAGTTTTGAACTGCTGACCCTGAAGTTAGCAGCCTGATCCGTAACCACTACGCTACCACAGCTCCTTTTGTTCCCATTTAGGCCTGATGAAATGTTTTCTGTCTGTACGCCTTCCTTTTATAATTTGTTTCTAAGTTATAATGGTTCCTTCTTCCTAGCTCTCCACTGCGGGTTGAGTCCACGGGGTATCGATCACCCTGCTCATGCTGAAGGCATTAAACTACAAATTGAAGGTGAAGGTGTTGAATCTCAGTCCATTAAGAACAGAAATATCCAGAAGGTGTTGGACCAGAAAGGGACTCCCAAACGACTCCAGGCGGAATCTGAGATGGCTAAGGTAAGTAATATGTCAATTACCTAAGGAGATTCCAAAGCTGTGGCTTTGGATTTTGTGGTACAGCCCTAAGGAACAGCTGATATCTTAGGTTAAATGAGCCCTGCACCTTGATTATAAGTCACAATAAACAAAGATAGTGACCACCTCTCCTTTGGAGTAAAAGTGAAACATATTTGTAGTCCCTCTCATACCATGAACCTCTTGACTGTGGACTAAAGAAAAGAACACTTTGGATTTAAAGCCAAAAGATTTGTCTGCCAGGCTCAGATTTGTCACTTTAGACCACATACAGCTTTCTGAGCTTCCGATTCTTCATCTGTGAAATGGGTGTTGTTTAAACAACCTCTCCTATGAGATTAAATGCCACAGTATTGGGAAAGCATTTTGTAAAGCCCAGTACTGCATGAATATGAGACACTTTTGCTGACAAACACTTGACTAAAATCAGCGGACATTTTATAAAATATCTATGTTTATCCCATATGCTTGCTGTTCTAGCTTATTGTGTTCCTATGACAATCCTGTGAAGTAAACAGTAGGATCCAATTAATGAAAGATGTGATTGTTCTATTCTGCTGTAAGACCCTTAGTTCTGTTTATCTTTAGTTTAGATGCCGGTGGTATAAAACCGACAAAACACACATTGGGAAAGATACACTTTAACTAAAGGTCCTGCTTTAGTTGTAGTGGCCGCTTTTAAAGGCTTTCCTTTAATGGAAACTGGCTCTGTTAGGATTTATGCTGAAATCAGTGAAGATATTCATGTTGAGGCTGCAGTATTGAAGATATTTGTCCTGGCTTGCCCATTGGAAATGGAGAGAATCATTTTTGCCTGGCTTTTGGAGTCTCCATGTGTACGTTTCCTGCATGGGAATTTCCTCAGTAGAAAGGTCACTTTGCTTTCGTATGATAACTCTCCCATCCCCACATAATGTTTTTTTTTTAAATAAGTTTGTATTGTGAGGTTTACATGGAAGAATATCAGTTTTACATTCATCCTATTGTATTTCATTTCATCTCAATGATTACAGTCCCCTCATGCATCATCAAATAACCAAAGGGTACACCCCCAAGGCCCACCCCCCAGCCATCAGCACATGGACCCTCTCCCTCCCTGAATTCAGTGTCCCCAGCCACTCCATCTGTCCATGTCATCTTCTCTGTCTCCATCCCTGGAGTCTCTGCCTCTCTGGGTAGTATCCTGCTGTCCGCTCTTCTTACTTGATAGTCCCAGGGACCTCTGCTCCTGGGCTGCAAAATCAGTCTCTCCCCTCCTTTTGTCGAAAAATATCTACCTCTATATTTCCTACCCTCACAGTCAGTCCTGATGGCAATTATTCATTATTGTACCACAAGAGTCTTATCCCCATTTCCTTTTGCCAGCCAGGTCCCAACAGATTGGAAATCATTCAGTGGTGATTCTATCTTCCCCCATCCCATCTGGAACTAGGTTTCCTCTTGAAAGCTTGTAAGCCAGTCACTTCTTGCCTTTATAGGTCACCCCCATTTTGGGTAGTCAATGTCTAAGTTACCCATCCCTGTCAACCCTGTGTACTGAGAGCTGGGAGTGATCCTCACTGTAAAGATTTGTTCCCTTTTTTGAGCTATTACATCCATAAGTATAGGTAAAGTTCATCAAATTGTAGCAGGTTCCTCTTTTTATTTTTCCACTCTTCTTTCTTATTCTGGTCAAATTCTGATCATCCAGCCATCGAAGCCAGGTCAAGAGGGTACTGTCTGCAAATATGGGTGTTCTTGTCCCACATAATGTTGTTTTTTTAAATTTACATTTATTTAATTAATTTTTTAACAAAGTTTTTATTTTGAATTGAGTGAAAGTTTACAGGACAGATCATCAGCTTTGCATTCAACAAATCATCACTTTGTTTCATTACCACCATCATGTACCACCATCAGATAACAGTATTTCTCTCCACTCATCATAACTTTTTTTTTTTTTTTTAAATTTAAAATACTCACGCATATATATAATAATTTACAGCAACAAAGGGCATCTTCTGCAAGTCTGCCTCCTGGCCACCAGCTCTCAGTCCCTCTCTTCCCAAGAATCTGGAGTCCCCAACTGCTCCCTCTCTCCATGTCCCCATCTCTGCCTCCATCTCTGGTGTTGCTGCTTCTCTGGATAAGGTCCCACATTCGGCTTGTGCTCTTCTCCCTTGATGGTCCTAGGGTCCTTTATTTCTGGACTGTAAAATTAGGTACTCCCTCGTTTTTATTACAAAACTTCTGCCTTTACAGTTGTGACAGTCGCAATTAGTCATGATAACAATTACTCACTTTTGAATCATAAGAATCTTATCCCCATCTCTTTTCACCAGACCCATCTAGACAAGACAAAAACTATTCAGTGGGGACTCTAACTTTCCCCACATACTCTTTAAGTAAACTCCCTCTTGAAACCTTGTAAGCCAGTCACTTTGTGCCTTTATCGCCCCTTTGACTTTAGCCAATGTCTAAGTTGCCCATTCCTATGTACTCTGTGTACAGAGTGGATAGCATTGATACTTGATGTGAAGACTCCTTCCCTCCTGTTGGTATTTAGAGTGACTACCTCTCTAAGTATAGGTCAAGTTCATCAAATTGTAGCAATTTACTCTCGTTTCCTTTATCAAAAATTGTTTGTTTGTTTTTCATCTTCCTCTAGTCGAGTTCTGACTATCAAGCCATTGAGGCTAGGTCAAATGGGTACTATCAGCAAGTTAGAGTGTTCTTGTGTGTCTCCCCCCACTTCATATCAGCTGGATGCTTCACTCTCAGCTCTAGCACTCTGTGGCTATGTCCTTGTCCATGGACTCAAGTGTCCTCAGGACTCATCACACTTCAGACACCAGCCCTTCCTCTTCTCTCTTTCGTCTCCAGGTCAACGGGAGTCTATGGAATGTAGATGAACTCAGCCCATTTCTTCATTGTTGCCTTTTCCCCTCTTCCACTCACCAGTAGACCAGTGTGGTTGTCAGTAAGCTTACATGCCTGCTCATGTGTTCCCTTTGAGTTTCAATCTTATAGGGGGATTTGTCCTGAAGGAATTTGATTGCTTTCCTTGATGGCTTCCTGGCAAAGAACTTGCTTTTTCTTGTAGTAACCAGTCATACTGCCATTTTTGTTTTGCGTGTTTTCCTGTCGATCTTTCGTTGAAGATTATCTTCTGTTGCTCTAGATATTGCAGGCTGGTCTGCTTGTCCTTGCTAGTGGGAATGTCCTACCTCAGAAGGTTTTGGATGGGTCTGAGGATTCCACCTAAAGTTCTATACACTGCAAAGGCTCTACAAGAGGCCTAGTTCACTGGGTAATTTCTAGAATCCCTTTTAGGTATTCTAATCAGTTAGACTGAAGACAGGCTTACAAGCTTTCTGTAATCATGTTTTCCAACATTCCTTTCTATCCCCCTCAAGTGTCTATTTTACAATAGTAAGCAAGGGAAACCAATATTCATAAGACAGTCAAGCATCTTAGTATTATTCCCCCTCTTGTTGTTCCAAGGTTGAGCATGCATCACTACCTCTATCCCATTTAGGCCATGCAAACCTGTCTCAATGTTTCCCTATCTACCTTGTTCTTATACCCTTCCCCCTTTTTGTGTATTGCCATCCCCAACACCCGAACTGTGGTGTGTCTGCCACCTACAACGTGTTCTACTGTTGCCTCCCTCCACCTCCCACTAACCCCACCAACTCCACCAGTAACCAACAAAGAATATTTCCCCCCTTTTAGTATGGGTATCTTTTCTTAAGCTCTTACAATAATGGTCTTATGCAATATTTGACTTTTTGTGACTGACTGATTTCACTCAGCATAATGTCTTCAAGGTTCACCCATGTTATAGGGTGGCTTGCAGCTTCCTTGTTATTCTTCAAGGTAGCATAATATTCCGTTGTTTGTATGTACCACAGTTTGTTTATCCATTTTTCCATTGATGGGCACTTAGGCTGTCTCCATCTTTTTGCTATTGTAAATAGTGCTGCTATGAACATTGATGTGCATATATCTCCTTGTGTTATGGCTCATATTTCTTGTGGATAAATACCAAGTAGAGGAATTGCTGGGTCATAAAGTATTTCTATTTCCTACTTTCTGAGAAAGTGCCATACTGTTTTCCAGAGTGGTTGGACCATTTTGCATTCCCACCAGCAAAGTAGGAGGGTCCCAAACTCTCTACATCCTCGCCAACATTTATTATCCTTTGCATTTTTGAACTTCTGCTGTTATTGCTGGTATGAGATGATATCTCATTGTTGTTTTAATTTGCATCTCTGTAATGGCTAATGATCTATGAAGATTTGCTCATTGAACTGAGCTTGTTCATTCTCACAGCTAATTCCTATTCAAAGTAAAGATGAAATCTTTATTCTACTTTTTCCTGGGTTCAAGTACAGGTAACATTGTTCATAACACATTCCACAATTAATTTCCCATTTTCCAGTTTTCATGTTATTGTGATTTCCTTCCCATCCCATTCCTGTTGTTGAACCAAAGCACCATCTGTAAAGATGCAGACATTCTGCGGTTTTCTGCCATCAGCTGTAGTTTCTTCAAATTTTTCTCCTGGGTTACAAGAAAACTATGTTGTTTTCAAAGTGCTTTCAATTTTGATGGTGAGGGTTTTACCATCAGTAGTGATGATACAGTCAGGTTTGTCCATTGCACCCATTTTTTTTTTGCAAAGCTATGCCCACTCCTATTTCCTTCATATATTCATGAAAGCCTTTGCTGTCTACCAGATGCCACCTTCCTACCAGCTGCTGAATGGTAGCCATGGTGGGTGCGGACAGGCGGATGTGCAGAGCAATCAGAGTGGGTCTGGTGGGAGAGTGTGCCATCCCCACAAAATGTTTTCTTGATCACATATGAATTTTTGGCTTTATGTACAGTTTTGAGGAATTAGCATTCTTGTTCTTGTTTTTAGTGTAGATGATTAAAAACTGATGACATTGTGTATGCATGTGTCTTTTGTTGGGCATAGGGAGTGATTCATTAGGGAG